ACGCGTATATCTCTTTATATAGAATCTCGATTTAATAACTTACACCGGCGTCTAAGGTAGGCTTCCACTACAATACCTTACTGATGAGTCCAGTAGTGGAAGCCGGGACGAAACGCCAAACATTAAGTGATATTCTTCGCAATATAGAATATTAGAATATATTATCAGATTTAGATTGACTCTTATTCGCCATTCTCAACATATTAATTATTGTTTATAAAAAGAGTCCTTTATTTCTTCAATTATTTGTAATTTTTTAAATTACTAGAAAAAATTATAAACTTTTTAGCTCAATACGTGGAAAATAGATGAGTTTTAAAATAAGGCTGACCATACAGATGTCTTGATCACTTAGAAATCAGACTTCGCCAATTCAATTTACATAAGTTGTAAGTTGGTTCTCTCAGATTTATTAACATATTAGCAATATTGAATTTTTCAGTAAACTAATTTATAACACCATGAATATCTGTCAGCTTCGGAGATGCGTCGGGGATCAATTAAACTTCGGTAAACTAAACCTATCTCGGGCGAACTTTCGAAAGGACGTAAGCTACCACTCGCCGTGTTCATCCAAGCTAAAATTTCTTGATGTTAAATAACTTCAGCAGCGTTCAATTAGGTAGTTTCTTTTTCATTTTCTCGCATTCCATTCACGTTTCTTGCAACGTATATATTCGCGACATGCCATTCGATTATAGCGAGCACAATTCGTAACGTTCGGCCGTAGTCGTCAACGTCAAAGAGGAGGTCAACAACGCGAGGCATTGTGCAGATGTGTCGCGGATAATAAAAGGGGTAGCGCCACCGGAGGGTTACTGAACTGCTCCTGTCGGCCACGCAATACATCATTTCTTCCGGGGATACTCTCGACAATGCCGAAGTATCCTGGGCTCTCACAACGCTCATCTTGCAACATCCATCACGAAAGGATAAGGAAGTCTGGATCTTCTGGAGCCGGATTAAAATATTCCTATTAGAGATATATCAGTATAGTTGACAGTTATTTTCAACCGTGTTCTACATAGATACAAAAATGACACGCGAATAATCATTCCAATCGTTAAAAATACATCTAACGATCATTCATCGTTGTAACATTAATTTTCTTGATAATTTCGATACAGTTTCTAATAATTGTATGACTTTTTTACTCTGTAAGGAATGAACGTTGCAAATTTACAATCACTTTAAAATTAAATTCGAGATAAATTCGGGGTATCTGTGCAAATTAGTTAAAACTTAATAACAAACGATGAAAAATGTATGTAGTATTGAACATTGAAATATACAGTACTTCGACCCGCCAATGAAAAAGCTGTACTCGATACGAGTAAGTATATCAATGTAAATATCGATAGATTACACACGTGTATATATATATATATATATATATATTGCAAGTTATTCTTTAACACAAATTTTAAAAAATTGTTTTTTATTACAAGATGATTACATCCTTAGAAAGTTTATAACAAACAATACTCTATGAACAGTAGAACTGTTCGATACAGCACAGAACTATAAAGCATGTCCCAAAGATGTCCAAAAGACGTCTCGATATCCTAAGGATCGACGATCCTAAGACGTCAGATAAGTGTGCTATGTAAAGATGGATTATCATATGTTAAATAAAATATATAGATTAGATAGATATAGTCGTTTTTCCATTAATTGGTCATCCACCTCTACAACCAACCAGACCCGATAAACTCAACACATTGTTTCCGCGCCTGGGGAGCCGAGCCGAAGGCGGAAAATTATTTTTAGACCGGCGGCTGTCGTTATCTAAGCTTTTTACATCATCGGGCCTCCGTCTGGGCAAAAGCGCGGATTCACGGGCGGCGCGTGTATGCCGCTTAATTGGACGAGAGACCCGCGATTAGAGAGGATAAATGTCAAACGGTGCGTGCACCCATGACCACCGGGTTTCAAAGGATTAATTATGGGCGACGGAGACGGCGGAAAATCGCGATTGTGTTTGCCGTCTGCAAAAATCACAACACTGCCGCCAGTGTCACCGTCGTCGTCGTTGTCGTCGTCATCGTCGTCATAACTAGCATGCATGAACGGACCAAGAACGATATATCGGGATGTGCAGAGAGGACGAGATTGAGGTATTCTGAATCACCAGGGATTCGTCCGATAAATACAATCGGCGTGGGCGTAGTGTCGAATGAAGACACGGTGATAGGAAACCTTAGTCGAACTTGGAGGTCCGCTCGTCACGAAAGGTATGTGTACATACTACCTACGTAAACGTGGGTGTGAAGGTAGAAAGAGGGAGAGAGAAAGAGAACTCTCTAAACACTATATCAATTTCGGCAGCAATGCGGTTACTTGTCGTCCGTGACTAAACATGAATGGCGGGTGCACGTTCGTGCTTCCCATTCTCGCGTGAAGCCGAATCTCCATAGTGTCGTGTATCCAGATAAGCCAGAGGATTACTCGTTTTTATTCTGTTCAGTTGCGTTTGATTGGTGGTACTTGCGACAGTTAAACTTATAAACTCTTTTTGTTAGTGGAAAAAAGGAAATATATAAAATATATTTCCAATAAGATATTAATATTAGTAAAGGAATATTAAGCTGTTAATATAGACAAGAAATTCATTACGATGATCTAAAGTAATTTCACAAAATTCGAGTACTATAAGAATGCGTGATATAAATACATAGGACGCGTAATTGCGTAAATAATTTGATATGTTACTCTTCGTAAATTTAACCCTCCGTTTACAATCTGAATCTTTTTTTAACACCAACAAAATTTCATTCTCTTTCTCCAAAATAAAAAAAAGATGGAGTCTGATTCCTCTAGCTAAAATATTTTGTAATAATTTAATAATGTAATTAAGATGTTGAAAAATAACTCTTGAGTTTTTCCATATTTTTTGAAAGCCTAGAATAAAAAAAAGCTTGGCCTAATAAAAAAAGACCTGGATTGTAGACGGAGAGTTAAGATTAGGCTGTGCGATAGAAACATTTCTATCAATAAAACACGATTAATTAGAATAAGCAAGTAGATAAGCAATTGTTCCTTTCTTACTCATTTAGAATTTTAATGGGCAATTTAATGGGAATGGCGTGAGCGAAAAGAATTTATAGCGTGATGTGTGGTGTGTTCACCAATATTAAAGTCAATCATTCATTTCGAGAAATGTAGGATGACTCATACATTTTCCTTCTTAAGACATATAAGAGAGAGGATTAATGCTTGGATAGCCTTTCATGATTGTTATCAATTCATATACCGGATACTTGCACGTGTCCAAATAGCAAGGTCTTACAGGATCAAAACTGTTTCTACCTATAATTAAATTGGATCACGAAATTATCGAACGTTTTTTTTTTTTTTTTTTTCAAAACAAATATTCACAATTTTAATATTTTTGTCAATTTAAAAAAAAAAGGAGATGTATTTATCTTCTGACATAAGAAAAAACAAAAGATTTTGTATTTTTCCGCAAAAATCGTCATAATATTAAAATTATTTTGGCATATGTTTTTACACAAAAAATATGGTTGTGCTAAAAATTTAGCGAGATACAAATTTAAGAATAATTTTATTGAATCATCAAAATAATTACGTAGGAATCTCAAGTATAATGAGCAATGCTGTAAAAAAATGTTGTCATCCTAGTAATCAATTCGAGCGTACATAAATTGTTTTGATGGTTCAACAAAATCATACACACACACACACACATTTTCAGATCTCTATCTAGCTAAATTTTCAGATGCTTTAGCAAGATTATTCTTTCGATTGTTAATTGTGTATCAATAATTATTGAATTTAACATACAGTATTATTCACTGATATTTCTTTCTTTCTTTCCTGCAAAAAGTGGAAATATTTTTATGTAAAAAACTAAATATTCTCTCACTAAATTGAAATGCAACACAGGACCACAAGAAGGTTATGGCGAATTTATGCACTTCCTCCACGACGCAACGCATAAGAAAGAAAATTGAGAGTAGAGCCAACGCCTTGACGAGCCTTCGTGAGTTTTATCGACTCACGACTTTATCTGTGAACATGTTACGTTATCCAAAGATCTGTTTAGGTAACTGTAGAGAAGACGATCTAGCAAAACACATCGTAACACTCAATGAAGTTTGAAAACATCAAGAGATTAGGCATTTTCACTGATATTTACATTCGTCCTCAAGGTGTCCCGCGATATGTCCCTCGAGATGTTCCCGTAATTTTCACTAAATCGAACGAAACTCCTCATAAATGACTCAAAAAAGATGACACTTCATGTAGTTTCTTCCTATAGGAGCGCGGATGGAGACGCGACGCGAGGTGAGCCAACGCCTTCGTATTTAGCCTCGTGATCGTTATCGACTCGCAGAGCCTGATACCTGAAACGTGTCCTTAGGCAAAGATCCTTCCGGAACGAAACGACAACGTCAGTGACGAGGGATTAGATTATATGTCCAACGGTATCCGGTTCTCCTTCTTGAGGGTGGAGGCTGCTCGCGGCTGCCGCGGCAACGCCTCTTCTGTCACGTCAACGTTAGGTACGAGAAGTAAATAGGTAGATATGCGAAGAGAGAAAGAGAAAGAGAGAGAGAGAGAGAGAGAAAGAAAGAGATAGCGAGAGAGAACGGGTCACGGTTAGAGGTACACGTCGCTCCCTCGTCGCGAAGCGGTCACGGGGAGACGCGGAAAGCGGAAGCGAGAGCGGACAGAGAGGTGCGACTCCGCCTAGTCGCGCGCGCGAGAGAGGCACCTCACCCTGGGTAAACACACTGCGGGATGCACCCCACTACCACTACCACTACCAACGGCACCACTACCCACCACTACTACCAGAACGGCACCGGTGTGTACGTACGATCAACGCCCCGCGCCACCCACCACCTTACCGAAGGGAGAGAACGTCTCTCCTGTGTATATTTCCCGTCTCCGTCGTATTTCCGTTTAGTTCCTTTCTTTCGACGTCTCTAATTGTCTATCTATTTATCTAGTTCTCTTTTTGCATTTTTCTCTTTGTCTTTCTCTCTCACTCTTCGTCCTTCTATTTACGTACTACACCCTTTAGCCTCCACCCGTCCGCGTGACGATGACTCACACTCACCCACACGGCGACGCTTCCTTCTCGGCTACCTGAACACTCGGTTGAACAGACCGGCCGCTCCCGAGAGAGGAGCCCTGGCATGGCCTGGTGCCACGAGCGAGAGTCCTTTCGCGATGACACCACCGCGGCGAGAAAAGACAAACGGAGAACAGTTCGAGAGGGATGCTGGAAGCGCCGTGCGCGACAGTTCTCGAAGAGAAGGTCGTGGGCGGCGGCGGCGGCGGCGACGACGACGGCGACGACGGGGTACGGGGACGGCGGGGTCGGGGTTACGTGGTCCCCGCGGTAGCCTGAGGGAAGGGGAGACGGTCAGAAAGGAGAAACTGGGATGAGGACGGTATCCACCCTATTTTCAGAGGGAGAGGGAAAGAAAGAGAGAGTAAGAAATAAGAGAGAGAGAGAGAGAGAGAGAGAGATAGAGGGAGAGGGATGATTGTCGCGAAACCCACCGGGACAAGACGCGACGAACGATCGGAGAAAGCTACCCGGGTGCCGCTCCCGAAGGCACTCCCGTCACAATTCTTGTCGCTGTTGTCGCTGCTGCTGCTGCTGCCGCTACCTCGTCGCTCGTTGACTCGTTCTCCCCCTCGCTGCCGTGGCTGACGACGGCCCTTGCCGTACGATCACGCTTCCGGTCTTTCGCGGGAAATCCTCGCAGACGACGTAGCCATGGATACTGCAGGATCCGGTAGGGAGAGGCGACTGCCCCGTCGCGCGCGCACCCCCGTTCACCACCCGCCAGTCCCCGCTGCGCGCCACCACCCTCAGCGCAACTTCTCCTGCCCCCCGCCGCGATGCGCGCCCCACGGCCGAAAATGTCAATATCCTCTCTCGCGCTGCGCCCGCGATGTGTCCCCTCCTCCCGACCACCCACCCCCGTCGCGCCACGATGTGCCGCGCCGGTGCGCCCCACTACACGCGCCCTCCGTCGCCCTCATCTCCCACCAACCCCTTTTCACAACTCGATCCGCTCCCTCTTTCTCTCCGTTCTCCTTCATCGTAATACCCCTCAGCGATTCTCTCTCTCTTTCCCTCTCTCCCTCTCTTTCGCGCCGCCAAGACCATCCCTTACCGACTCCAGGGGTGAAACTGTAATCGAGAGAACCTTTAAGTTGTTGTTATATAGAAAGGAACTTAATAACGGTAATTAGATCGGAAACGAGAAAATATCTCGTCGTGTGTTGATGTTCATTACTAATAAGAGATATACTTTGATTTATGGAGGTTTATATTACGAGAGTTCCCCTGTTTCGCGCGCATCCCTCGGCTTAAATACGATCCTGCGACTCGCGCCCTTTCGCATCACCGCTCTCGCCGCTCGCTCGCTCTGTTTCCCTTCGCCGTCAAGATCTCGTTTTCCGTTTTTTTTTCCCCTCGGGGCGAGAAACGGGTCATGGCGAAAAGATGGTCTCTCCTAGGGACTTGTTCTTTTCCTATCTTCCTCATAAAAACACTTTAGTTATCTTCCTATCCTAATAAACGTATATGGATCCCTATCGATCGATCCCACGTTTTCTGCTTACCGTAACCACACAGGGAATGAAATCAGTGTTTCTGATCGTCATCCTCGTAACTGTCAAGCTTGACGAGTAACCATAGCGATCGGCGATTGATGTGAGACACGTGCGCACCAACTATCTGAAGAGAATCCTCTTGAATCCAGAAAATCATCCCGTAATTTTATTTCGCTGTCTAATCCCAATGCAATCTCATGTGCAATTTGGTGAACGCATCTACCTTTTCCGATACAACAAATAAAGATATCTATAATTATTATATAATAATATCTAATAACTTGATTTGCATTTTGTGTATAAAGAACCGAATTGACTATTAGAATTGAGTTCTAATAAATATTGCTATAAATAATTCTGCTTTATTTCTTACTATCTAGTTTTCTTCATTTTTCACTTGATGACTGCAACAAGTAACGAAGTACATTCGTGATAAAAGCGCACGTCTTATTAAAAGCGTACCTCTTCTACTTGCAGATCGACTTGAAGTTTCTCATCTTGGAAACGGTTCCTACAAGAAAATTTTTACTTAGATCGATAGAAACTGCAAAATGTAAAGTTATTTTAAATCACATAACTAAATATAAATATATGTATATAACTATAAATTACATACACTTTAAATAAATTTTTCCAATATTATTATATATTTGTATTGAAAACTCTGTCAAGGAAAATTTCTAAAATTATGATTATTGATTTAAACGTGACAGGTGTTCGCTACATCGATGAAATAATATATTGATTTTCGCTTGCTGATTTGTTCTACTATGTCACAACATTACCCCATTTATGATAATAATTTTCTATCATTATTCTATTTCAAGAAAAAGAACAGAAAACATTATTTTGTAAGATTTTTGCAAGAAAGGAATTATAAGAGGAATAAATCATGTAGAAAATTCTTTTTCAAAATTTACTAATATCTGGCTAATCAATTCAAAGATAATTCCAGAATATTCTAGGTAAAAATTCTATTTTTTCCAGGTCGGTTAATTTTCATTAATCAATTTTTAGTGATTTGCACAAATATTATTAAAATCATAAAACTCATCCTTACCGACATGGTTCATATGCACTTTTTTGCACGAATTTTTTTTTCGATAAAAGGATGACAAAGTTCTAAGTCAATATTGAAAAATAAAAGGATTCAAGGACATTTCAGGATCGTGGGATATCTTGTTCTCATCTCCTATTAAAATGGCTCGCTGATCTGCACTTGAAGGTGATTCCAAAAAGTATAAATCCTGGAAGGTATTAGATCTAAGATCTAAGATTACCGTGGATGATATTTATTTTTTCACGCTAATGTCAGGAATACTTACCGAAGGATACTCTTGCAGCTTTTGGAATGGCAGGCGGCTGGGTAGTCAGGTTGTGAAGCTTTTGAAGACTAACTGCGCGAAATATCGAAAACACTTTACCGGTTTTTCTGCAAACAACAAACGCGCAACGGAACTTCTTCTTCTTTCGTATGTTTCGCCCACGTAACGGCCAGTATCCAATGTGGCGGGAATTGCTTATTTAATCAAATGGCAGCTATTGGCTGCAGAAAAAACAGCTTCGCAACTGTTGTAAAATTCTTGAATATGTTTGGTTCATACATTTAGATCCAATGAGGAACTAAAGGAAAAACCAATCATATTAAAGAATTTTACAACAGTTGCAAAGCTGTTTTTTCTGCTGAACGCAACCAATGACGACCAATGACGGTGTCTCAACTGTGAGCCAATGGGCGCGTTTAACGGACCCAATAGTTGACTGATCGCTCGCTGTTATTGACGTATTCTTTTAGATCATCCAATCAGAATTTTAGATCTAGAAGAATGTACCAATAACAGCAAGCGCTCACTCAACTGTTGAGTCTGCTGAATGCGCCTAATCACATTTTTGCATCGGTAAGACACTTTCATCTTTTTCAATAGATCGATAAATTAATACATAATACTTAAGCGGGAATTTTAATTTTAAAAATAAATCTCTTACGATATTATATATAAAATATCAGAAATAAAATGACAGTTATTTAATTACATTTTGTGCAATGATTAATGTTTAATGTATGCGCGCGCGCATGTATACATATATATAAGTCAGTATTCAAAACGCGTTATTGATAAAAGCGCGCTTTTATCTTTGAAATTCTATGATATGCGTAACGTAAATAGCATGTTAAAGCGCTAACATCGTTGTAAGCGCGTTCTGAATATACCAAACATTAATAGAACACATACACATACGCGCGCGCGCACGCAATTTTTCTATAATTTTATAAATTTGTGTATTTTTATACGTTAATATCAAATATTTTCGAGATTTCTTTTTTAATAATGTAACAATAGATATTTGATCACTCACATATTACATTAAATTAGTAGGCTGTTTTATTATAAAGTATCTAAACAATGGCTATGTTTTTACACCGTGTGCTTAGTCCGCGATAGGTGTCTTTGTTTAATCTACAGGATAAACAAGGACATCTATTGTATAGATCGCGGCCTAAATACACGGTGTACATGTAGCCAATGCAGAGACATAATAACATAATCAAATTTAATATAAAATAATTAAACATGTATATCATACTAAATAACATATATAATAATTATATAATATATATAATAATATATTATCGTTAAATGTAATCGTTTAAAATACTTATATGTTCTTACACTCTGTTAATTTCGTGTATAACAATTTTTAGTGTGCACTAATCTAATATAATACAAATGACCGAATTCGTTATAAGAAAAAGTATGTACTACATACGTGTTTTATTTTTGAATGCAACAGTGAAAAAAGATGAGACCTTTTAAATCGATTCGAGTGACACGTGATCACATGTGGCAGGTTGTTTATAGCACAGAACATTGGTTTAAACATCTTCTATTCTTCTGGACGATGCATACATAAATCCAGAATACGTAGTTCCGTTCGTTTTAATTCGTTATTATATCTTAATTCTTTCATCTATCTTTTTTCTGCAGCTGTGCAATTCTAAAAACGCAACATAGATATTTAAAAGTTAACATGAATCTAACCAAAGAGAAATCATATGTGTACAAATAAATACTTAACCTCCAATATTTGGTACAATACAATCGTCGCTCGCAAAAAAATGCTGCACAAGGCGATTTTAAGATTAAAGTGCACCGTTCGAACGGTGCACCTTCGCTCTTTGTCGAAGTTGTCGGCCAACTTAAACGAGAATTCAGACAAAATGCAAGCCTGGCAGATACATTCGTATAACGGCCTAGAGGATCTTCGCCTCTCTAACGTCAGGATGCCGGTGATTACGAATCCTACTGACGTTCTAGTGAAGATCGAAGCTGCTAGCGTGAATCCCATCGATGTTGCGATGACGGGTATTCTATTCCTAATATTTCTACACCATGATATACGTATCTTTAATCTTGAAAATAACATACAAAACGTAACATGATTGGAAATCAAATGTCTTGATCTAATCTGATGTCTGATTATGTTTATCAAAGATTTTTTTGAGCTTCAAAAATTCTGAAAAAATTGTGGTAGTCTCTTTCAACAACACATCCAATAATATAATCTTATAATGATATAATCTGAAATTTTACTTTCTGTTATGTGTCTGAATTTGAGATAGAATAATTAGAAATTGAAAATTCACTCGAATCTTTAAAGAACTGGTTAAACCACAGAGCTAGTATAGTCCTTGAATGTCTAAAGTTACAGTTATGCTTGTAATAATCATATTAATTGTCCTTATTTAACTTTGATAAATGATAAGGGTTTTAAGAGCATGAATTATAATCAAAGAAAAAATCTAAGAATTACAAATAAAAAGGACAAACTTTGTTATAGATGGCTATGGTAATACTTTCCTGAATGTCTTACGTAAAACCAAGAATTTATCCTTTAGAACATTGGGAGAACTGGATTTACCACTGACATTAGGTAGAGACTTCGCAGGAATAGTTGTATCAAAAGGACACAATGTAGGTGACAGGCTCGAGATAGGCGAGGAAGTTTGGGGAGTGATTCCAATCGAGCAACAGGGCTGTCATGCAAATTATGTTATAGTTAACAGTAGTTTAGTAAGACATGTTTCATTCTTAATTTATTAAATATTTGATAAGCCAACTTAGAATCAAGATACTTATGTTTCTTACAAGGTAAATCCACGTCCTCAAAAATTGTCTTATATTGAAGCTGCGAGTATCTTGTATGCTGGACTGACTGCATGGTCTGCACTTTGGATCACAGGAGGACTATTTTACAAAACTGCAATAGCTGTGAGAATGAACAAACGTGTTCTGGTCATAGGAGGTTCGGGAGGAGTTGGTACCTTAGCTATACAGCTATTGAAAGCTTGGAATATGCATGTAAATATTTAATCGTAGATATTACATAGATGTCTATAGAATGTGAAACATTAAATTTGTTTAGGTAATTAGCACATGTAGTAGCGATGCTGTAGAGATGCTACAGAATTTAGATGCTGATGTTGTCATTGATTATAAGAAAGATGACGCGAATGCAAAAATTATTTCAGAAGGACCGTAAGTGACTTTATATTAAACTAAAATGCATTGTGTGTAATAAATGTAATATATCGCTCATTTGTTATGATTAAAAAATTGTCATTTTTGAAATCGTTTACAGAAAAAGAAATATAAAAAAGAGAATAAATATATCTTATAAGAACACATTTTTATTCTTCTACAATTGGCCATTACACTAAAGTTGCATTTCAAGATATTTAAACATTTTCCGAAAAACTAATTTTTTATCAGTGTGTAGCAAATGAACATTATATGTAAAATTGTCATATTTGCAGATATGACATAATCTTAGACTGTGCCGAATTAGGACTGGAATATGTCAGAACGAAAGGATATCCACATGATACTTACATAACATTAAATTCACCACTCTTAAAAAATGTTGATCATCATGGGCTAGTTATGGGAATGGCAAAAAATCTCGAAGATCTTCTAAAATTTAATATTATAAAGAGAGAAAATAAAAGTTGTGTTAAATGGGGATTTTTTATACCTTCCCAAACAGGAATCAACGTTCTTCAAAAGCTTGTGGAAAACGAAGAGGTGTGTTTGAAAAGTTCTGAATTTTATTCTACAAAATTCTGTAATTTCTTAACTTTTTATTCTATGGTTCGCAGATTGTACCTGTTGTTCAACAGGTGTATCCTTTTCAAGATTTGCCACAGGCATATGAGAGAATGAGGCAAGGACATTTGAGAGGCAAACTAGTTATTGACATGAGATAGTAAATCAAAATAAATATATTAATTTATATATCTATATGTATAATAAAATTAATATTTATTTTTTACAAATAAGATTTAATAGTAATAAATATAATTATTTTACATAATTTTTGCAGTATTTGTTAAGCTTTTTACATCTTGTATGTCATTACCAAAAACCTTTTCTGTAACTTCCGTCCAACAACTTGTCGCAAGTTCCATGGCCCTTTCTGTACCTTCCTTCAAAATCTCGTCCAAATAGGCAGGTTCTCTGGTTAATCTCAATATATCTTTACGAATTGGAGATAATTTTTCTATCACTACATCTGCTACTTTCAATTTATACCTATAAAATCAAAGTATGCCATAATAATTCAGTTAATTTATTTATAAAGTTTCCAAAAGTAATCATTTCTTTATATACACACATATATGTAGGTATGTATTTATATATAATACTTATAAAAACTGAGATATAATACTCATTAAGTACTTACTGTCCTGTATTTAAGCCTACAGTCTCCTCACATATTTCTTCTGGTGTCTTCCCAGTGAATAAAGAGTGTATATTAATTAAATTAGTTATACCTGGCCGTTTTTCTGAGTCATAAGTCACTTCGGATGTAAAATCAGTCAAAGCTTTTTTCACTTTATTTAACAATATGTCTGGTTCGTCCAAGAGATTTAGCCTGGACTTGGAATCAGTGTGTGATTTTGACATTTTTTTCATAGGATCTCGTAGAGACTTGATTCTTTGGCTAGGACCATCTAAAAGTATCCAAATTTTAAGTGTCAACGAAAATATTTTTAAAACCAACATTGATAAGATTAAATTACAAAAATTACTAATTTAAAAACTTGCCACTAATAAGAGTATGTGGTACCGGAAAGGTTTGTCCAAACTGCCTGTTAAAAATCTGTACTAAGTCTTGTGCCAACTGAATATGCTGAGATTGATCTTGCCCAACTGGAACATGTGTTGCTCTAAAAGAAACATTTTCATCATATATATGTTAATTCTATTGCATTGCGTAAAAATTATAGAGTAATTTTTAATTATATCAATACTTCAGAAGACTAATTTAAACTTTAAAATAAAAACATTCATCTGTTACATTATATTGTATATTCATGTTTTCAATTATATATTATTCCTTTATCTTTTTTATCTCACTTTAAGATATGTAATCAACTTCATGAAGTGCTGACATAGAATTAAGAATTACCTTATATATCTAATATCAAGATACTTGCTTATATAATAATATATCAGCTGCTTGTAGAATAGGATAGATGTACAAGCCTAGAGGTACATTCTTTAAGGATTCGCTTTTTTCTTTGAATTGTGGTAGATGAGCTAGCCTCGCCATAGTTGTGATACTGCTTAAGATCCAACATAGTTCTGTGTGCATCGACACTGTGGATTGTTGGAACAAAATACTTCTCTTATAGTCTACGCCACATGCTATCAATGTCGCAGTCATCAGCAAAGTATTTTCCCTTAATTTTTGGGGATTCTACAAATTGTGTATTGTCATCAGATGATAATGCCAGAGTATAGAAACATAATCTGCGCCGTTATTTTACTTGTGGCAAAGTAATGGAATGCAGATCCGCTATACAGCACAGAACTGCTTCGCCAGAGTTTTGTAATTCCACCCATCTCCGAATGGCACCAAAATAATTTCCTAAATGCACGCTTCCCGTAGGCTGAATTCCAGAGAATATCCTCTTTGGATATTCAATCTGTGTTGCCTGCAAAATCAAAGAACATGTAATGATTAATGAATATAAAAAATAATAACAATTTTATTAAATAATTGACGTAATGAATAAAACTTTCCTTAAAATGTAATAATAATCTTTAAAGTGTTTCATAAAACTATTTATATAATTAATTAAATGCTAAATCTCTATCTACTTCAAAAACAATTCTGTTTCAGGCGTAAAAAAAAAAAAGATTAGAAACGTGATCGAACCTGATTACTACATTTTCTAAGTCCCTCGGATTTTGCTGCATAAGTTCTTTCTGAACGAGCAGCAGCTCGCAATATTTTCAGCATGTTTTAAATAAATATCGACTTTATTAATATTGAATGTGAGGTTAAGACCTCGCAACTGTGAGGTTAAAATCCCGCAATCGACAACGAACAACAGTGAATGGGTTGCCTACACTGTATTACAGATCGTTCTTTGTAACTGTACTTTTCATACTTTTATCTTTTCTCTTTTTTATCCAATGTTTAATTATTTATTTCACTTTAAGCGTAGAAAGTATAATACAGGACAGCTATAAAGAACATCATTTTATTACAATCTAATAATAATAATTTAGCATATAAAAAATAAAACTGCAGTGCAGAAAGCGTAAATGAAAGATTTTATTCGTTGCGTCAGTCTTACCAAATGCTTTAACCAATCATAAACGGCCTTTGAAAATTCGAAATTTTTGAAATCTATGCGCATTTAACAAATACTTTAGAGAGAATCATACGTATTTTCCAACAATCGTACGTTTGCAAAAAGCAGAGCTGGTTTCCACTTTCCATCAAATTACAAGGAGTAATACATAAAAAAGAAAGACATTTCAAAAATTGTAATAAAAAAATTACATTACTAAGAATTTAATTGAATTACTTATAAGTAATTAAACTTGTATAGTTTACTTGTAATTTTTTTAGAACGTTTAATTGCAAAGAAGGTATCAACTAATTTTACATTTTAATTATATAAAGATAGATTTTTGTTACTAGCGCAATTAATAAATTACAAATATGTAATTCATATTGTTATATTTCATCATATTATTTAGATTAATCTATTTTCAGAAAAAAAATATAAATAACGTTCTCTCTTTATTTTATATAAACTTCGTATTCCATTTTAGAACGACTTGATTTTGCATATCGCCTGTGATATAAAAGATAAAAGCTGTATAATTATGGTCTCCACCGTGAAAATCTTCAACGTCACTATACCTCCAAAGGACGGTCTCTGCTGTATGATCTGCAAGATCACGAATTCCGAGAACGATTCCTTAATCTACTCCAATTATTGCAGGAACAGACTTAAATGCGGGTGTGTATCGCTTATCAGTATCGTCATAGCACATATATATATATATATATATATCGGTCCATCAACTCCGTTGACACATTTTACGGATTAAGGCCAAATAATAGTCTTTAAAAGTTAATACTTGGATCCAATGAGTTCGCGTAGATTTTAAAAAGAAATCGTCGGTTTTTCAGGCAATTTCTTCGAGAAACTCCTCAGGCGATGGCTGCTCCGATAACTAATCGGAAATTACTCGAGCTCGGTAACTCTCTATACATTATCGTCACAAAGGATTTTTTAGAAAGCTATACCTTCCAGGATCATTGCGACGCCTTTAACATACAGGTGGTACGTGTCCGCAGAGATCACTCTAAAAAGTATACGAGTCATTTTAAGTGATACACTAAAATATTTCGGAAAATATAAAAAATTCGGAAAAATATTTTAAACAAAAGTTGCTCACCAGAGGAAAAGAAAGTAGTGACTTTGATTGATCTAAAAAAAGATATTCTTAATGTCAGATCAAAGTTACTTGGTTAAACATTTATTAAATAAAATATAAAATAAAATTTGGAGTTATTTTATTTAAAAAATTTTTGGTAATTTTGATCTGATTTTAAGGATATTTTTAGTAGATCAACTAAAGTCATCACTTTCTTTCCCTCTATAATAACTGAGCGCAACTTTTGTTTCAAACATTTTTCCGTATTTTTCATATTTTTTGAGATATTTCAATGTATCATTTAAAATGACTCACCCCGTATATGTGTGAATTATGCGGTGTCTGTATAATTCTTATCTCTTTCACCTAAACAATTCCTTTTATCCCAAAAATCTTCCTTATTCTGTAAGAATCTTAACGCAAATTTCGTTACCATTATTATAACGTTATATTAAAAAACCGCGCATTAGCATTATAACGATAACAAAAATTTGCGTTAAGAGTTATAGAATAGTTCTGCTGGGAACGTTTTTAGGATGTTTTGCAAAACGTCATGCAGAATGCCCGGAGATCTGTACTATACGAGCATGTTAATATAAATATACCAATATAGTGTGAATTTAACGACATAGATATATTAATTCACTCTAAATGTAGTTTTCTACTGAAAAAATTCACGTAATAGAATATTTGAAATCAGTAAATAATTTTTTTAATTACGCAATTAAAATCACGATAACGTGTTTTTTTTTCGATTTTTTTCAATGATTTAATTATTAAAAATTCGATAACTATAATATCATATGTGATAGATAAAATTATAATATTTCTTATATCATGCGATTTTTCAAATTTTACCTGATTTTTTAAAATCACGTATTAATTTGGAACAATCTATTGATTTGTTTGTTTTAATTATATGATTTCATTGTGTAATTTTGTGACATGATTTTTTACAGTAGGATTTTGTTCTCTTCCGAAATGATCAATCTCTCGCATGAAATCAAAGTTGTTCGTTGATATCGAATGTTGTAGATGGATCTACTCGATCCCTTTCCAAATTACGTTTACAAGATGTGTCTACTTTACACTGTGGAATACAGGCTGGCACCTCAGTGGAACAAGGTCGGGTTGTATCTCGTCGAGGGACGAGATTTTCTCAGCTCAACGGGAAGTGTCAACGCAATCTCGTTGAATATCAAAGATATCCGCGGTAGAATTATTGGTTTTATTAAATAACATTAGTATACTCTCGTATATACCATATAAGTTTTTACATAAGTACAAATGAAATATACAAAGGTTTCTTTAGCACAAAGAGTAATTTATTCTTTAAAAATTTTTTAATGAATTGTCACTCTAAAGAATGAAATCTCATTCTTAAATAAATTGAAAATTAGGCTCTTTTTCAAGACTGGCTCAATTTTCATTCTTTAGAATAAGATTCTATTTCAAAGAATTTAGATTAGCTATAAAAGAATAATTTAGATTGGCTAAATAGATAACTCTAGAAAGATAAATGTTGTAGATAATTGCGCTCAATTTCATGTGGAGGCTTTAAATCTCAAAATACCATTCCTAAGATTAAATACCGTACATTCCTCGCAACCTGATTCGCAGCCGCCAGTACGTGTTCTACCAAGGTAAAAGATAATGTTTCGTTACTACTAATAAAAATTTGTTTTATGTAAATTATGAAAATTATGCGCCAGTTTTATACTACAATTAATCATGCAAATGCCATGTATAGTTATCGAATGATAGTAATTCCATAAATATACTTATTCATATATAGTTTAAAAATGGCAACCGTATTGAGTATATCGAAAGAAATTAAGGAAAGGCACTTGTTCAAGAATTACGAGGATATGCGTACATATTGGAAAAATATGGTGACACAATCTATATTTATAACTTATTAAAACTAATATTGTTTAAACTTAATTTCTCATTGATTATATATATATATATTCTTGCTAAAATAAAAATTAATTATGCACAAAGCATAATTGATTCTCTAGAAATAAATTTGATCGAATTATTTTTTAATATTATTGTTCGTTAGAAATATAATTATAAACAATGTCAATTGCAAGAATTGTTATCTTTATTTTAGCATGGCTACGTATTGCCAGATCACAAGGAAGGACTCTTATTTTACAATATCAAATTCTTGTACTTCAAATCGCACGTTTACTTATATCCTGAAACGTGCTTAACCACAGGACCTCTAGAAATTCTTCCATCTGCGATGGATCCGATATCCCGAATTTACAAATTTGCAGGAGACTTAAGAGGAAAAGTGACAAAATTATGCGGACAACAATTGGACGTATGTCCGGAAGTGAGAATACTGCATATTTTATAATATCCACACGCATGCACGCATGCACACTTTTATTTTTACCTTCTTTCTCAATAAATTTTTCACTTGAAGCTAATAATTTTATAACTTAAATTAGTATTTATTTTTTTTCATGAAATAGCATTTTAATTGTTATCATTTACAAAAATAAATATGTAATTAAAAGAAACGACTTTTTATACAATGTATTAATAATTTACAATAAAGAGAGAGAGAGAGAGAGAGAGAGAGAGAGAGAGAGAGAGAGAGAGAGAGAGAGAGAGAAGAGAGAGAGAGAATCAGCTATTATATTGTTCTAAAATTAGATTAAACCAATACATCTGGCTACTACTATGCTTTTACTATGCATAACTATAATTTCGCAGAATACATATCAAGCAGCTGTTCTAGCTTGTACACCGATGTTACCAAAAGTTGAAAAATTTTCAAACTGTGATACTGGATATGGTACACGATCAAGAAGATTTCGCAATGAGATGCCTTCTCGGACAATTGATTCTGGCGATATTCCCACAAAACGATCGCGATTATCACTACCAGAGATTAATAACTCTCTTACGTACAAGACCGAGGTCAACGATTTCGATTTTGGAATGGGACCGACTTGTTCTACGAGCAATTTTGATAAATTTCTTAAAACTGCTGGTAATATTGCGACGATATTATGTGACCCAGATAGTGCTATGGCTAGTAAACCAATTATGCAAAAAAATGAAGAAAAGTCGCATTATTTTAAGCAAGAAGAATCAAAATCTGAAAATAAAGCTCTTGTGGTAAATATACACGTAAACTTGTACCAATTTTTTATTTAAGTAATAACAAAATAATTAATAATGATATTACTTTTAAAGGAACTGGTGAATAAAAAAGAAAATCCTGAAAAACAAAATTTAAAGGAAAAGTTGTTAAGGAATTTTTAAGAAAGTATTTTTACTATTTTTTGCCATCTCAATAACAATAATTATTATTCGTTCTTTTAGAAATCTAAAAAACACAATATTGTACAATATAATAAGAAAATATTCCTGATAGTATAATTAGAGAATCAATTTTAGATCAGAATAAAATAAATGAAAAAATAAATTAAAGTTTTTTTTTATAAGTTATAAATTTAATTTCATTACTTAAAAGTCGTAGATTATTATTTATCTCTTAGAATAAACAGAAAAAACACAATAATTTATATATTTCAATTCAAATTGTATCAATCAATAAATAAAAAAGATCAAATATTAATATGATTTGTAATTAATGCATTCCTCTATTGCTTCCAGCAAATCGCGTCTATCTCTTTCGTATTCGATACCGATCTCTATCAAATCTTTATCCGTAAGTGTTACAAATAAGTCAAAATCTACCTAAAATAAAACAAATCGTATATATTTAAAAATTATATCAATCAACATATTGCAAAAAGAAACACTACCGCTTGTATATTTTCTAACAACTCTAATACATTCTTTCAACATACTTCCTGTTCAAGAAATATAGAGATGTGTTGGCTCAGTCCGAAGCGTTTTAGTACCATGATCATTTTCGTTTGTGGCCAGTTTAAGAGCATTCCCTTTGGTGGCGTTTTGCAGCGCGGTGGTGTTGGAGTATTTTCGCCAAATACATTTTCCTCGTTAACATCCGGGGGCACATTAGGCGATTTGACGGGGCTAAATTCGGGTGTATATCCGAGAGTTATGTTGCACGAAAAATTCTTTATATCAAGATCCATAGGTCGTACTGACTGCAATCTATAAGACAATCAAATTGATTTCATTAAATATATTTTTTCAAAATATAATTTAAAAAATACATTAAATATATATCTAAGAAATATTATTTTATCGAACATTTTTATTTGATATAGAAAAGTTATTCTATTAATAAATAATTACTAAATTTGTCTGTTTACCTTTGAAGTATAATTGGAGATGATTCAAGCTCATTCTCGTCCATCGCAGAATGCTTTTCCAAATAATTTTCTATTCTTTTTTCGTTCATATTTTCATCATGGGAAATAACGTCTGACTTTTCTATAAGATTATCTTTCTCAAAATCAGCTTTTGGGAATGTGAACACATCGTAGGTTAAATTTGGTGATATTCTGTTAGTTTGGTCAGATTCCACTGCAGGAAATTGTAACAAATGCAGCTTGAGTTTTTCTCCTTTACTCTCGTCATCATTTGAAATAGAACGATTTTCTGTCATATTGTTTTGTTCGCTTATGATTTCGATATTATCGGACGTATCATTCCAATAGTCATCTATGGCCAGTTCTTCGTTCGCCAGAGCGGCTATTTCCGATACCGTGGAACGCTTCATCATAATGCGAGTATATCCATCTGCGCTTAATACACAAATTCTCAAACATAGTTTCTTTACGCTTTACTTAAAATAGATATAAAGAAAATAATAACGACCATAAAAATATACAATCAAAAAATAACATTTTTCTTAATATGATCTAATTTTGCGATATAATAAAAAATTAAGTAAGCAGTATTTATCAAATTTTTAGTTATAATAAAAAATATTCCAAAATATCTATTCTTAATTTTATCTTCGGCTCAGATTAACGTATATCTTTTTATTAAATTTTTACTGTAATCCTTAGTACGCATAATGAATCGTTCGTATCTGATAAGTTAATTTTTAACACTTTTACAGGTATATAAAAATTTTCAAGTGGTTCTTATACATACTTCAACATCCTTGTAAAGTACTTGTAAGGTAATATTAAAAAAAGGTTAAAAACAGAAACTATTGAGTGCTCCTAGAATTTAAAGCAAAGAAATGTATAGGAATGAATGACTCAACTGTGTACTAACGATTAATTATATAACTATGTGAATATCTCTTTTCATCACGATAAATATGCTTATCAATATTGGATAACACGGTTGAAGTAATTATATATGATAACTATAAGCTTTATATTACGCAAGTCATAAATATTGGTTAAAGAATTTTATGAAGAAAAATCATCTAACTAGCAATCGAGGACGGTATGCCTAATTCCAACAATCTTAGGAACAGTTCCTTGTCGTTTTTCATGGCAGCTACACATAATGGAGTAATGTCATCGTTAGCTGTGTTTGCTAATGCGTTCGGACAGACATTGTACACTGTTTCGAACATTTCCTTACTGATCGCAGCAGCTAATCCGAGGACCGACAAGCCTATAGTACATAAAAGGAAAAGAAAAGAAAAATTCTCTTTAAAATAGCATCGCATTGTCGGCTTATTTCAAAATTTTTGCTTTACTATTTAATTCGGTAATATAAGATCTTTAAAAATTATTTATTTTTTAAATAAGCTTTACACAACAAAATCTTTAATCAATTATTCTTAAAATTTTCATTTGGATATTGAGAATTAACTGTGTCATAATTATTTGCTTGCTTACCGAGATAAGTCATTTGATTAACGTCGGCGTTTCTCTCTAAAAGAAATTTCACAGTGTTGATATTTCCATTACGAATTGCTTGCATCAACGGAGTCCATCCGAATTTATTCTTTCTATCTATGATACGACAGTTCTCCTTCTGATCCAAAATTTCTTTCACAATACCAAGACAACCGTTCGCCGCGCTTATGTGTAGCAAATTTTCATCGTAATTATTTACAGCATTCAAGGTGTACCCTTCAAAAAATTTATATGAATTTGATTAACATCTTAAACCTCGATCGTCTTTATTGAAGCTAATTGTCTCAATTTTTTAATAAAAAAAAAGAAAAAGAAGCCAGTATGCTAGTCTACACGCTTTAGTAGAGATGAGCTTTTATAAATTTAATCGAAATTCATGTATCAGAATACAAAATATAAACAATTGTTTTACAGTTTTAAGTATATGTCACTAAATACAATAATTAATTATAAATTATATACTGCTAATTAATCCATATAATTGAGGAGAACATTACCTTGCTTCTGCATCGCTGCAATAACTTGCGCTTCCACAATTTCTTTAGTACTATAGTACGACTCTGGCTTTAACATTGTTTCTCTTTAAACTCTTATCAAGTGCATTAAAAAATTTCATCTACAACAATCGGATCAATAACTTTCTAAACAGCCAGACCCGATTAAATCTCATTACTCGTTATATCCTGAAGAAATTTGCCTGTTACGTTTATATTTATCAAACAGATTATTGTAACACTTATACATATTAAAAGAGCAGTTCTGACTTCGCTAACTGTCCAGATAACACTATATTGATCTCTATTATTGTCTAAATATTGCCACGTAATGTATGTTGCTTGTTGGCAAGTGTTTTCTTTTTTTCAAGCATGTAGTTATCAAAAAAAGGTAGTCAGAGAAAACTTTATAATAGGTATCGGTATGTACACAAAATCTGACAAAAAGAGGTGCTAACATTTCATAATAAATCTACATTATGTTGGTATATAAAAAGCTTAAATTATAAAGCAAATTTCGTATTAGTAACTGTACATATGTCCGAACATATACACAAAATTTATTATTATTAATCTTAAAAGTTTTTTTAATATTGGATTATAATTTAATTATATTTAAAGTTTACAATTAAATTATAATATTATATTTCAAAAAGCTTATTAATAATAATAATAATAATGTAAATAAATAAAATTTTATGTAAAATGTCAGGACATAGATAGATTTTCGGTCACTGGCTGGGACGTTTACCTTATCATTAAACAAAATTGGATACAATTAAATTTTGCGGAAAGTGAAACCAAAATTGCAAGCTTTAGCATAAGTATATTGCCTTTCACGGAAAAATTTTTCAATTTTTAAATTTTTTTGCAGTTTTTGATTTCATTTAATACAGAGCTTGAAAAAAAAAACATTTTGTTTAAATCCAATCTAATATAAATGTATTATTAAATAGAAAAAAGGGATAGCTGATAGAGAGAAAGAAATAGAGATAATTAAAGATACAGACATTATCGACTGATATAATTTTCTCGATCATTGATATGAACATTCTAACAGATAACATATGATGATAAAAGTAATTTTAAATAGAACAATATAATATATTGGATAAAAATTTTTCTCAGAATTTTTATACAATATTTGGACATTTTTGAAAAATACTAAGAAAGTCAAATCTATATAAACATTTTTTATATATTGCAAGTTCTGAAATATTCTGAGATTTCTTATTCTATAATTAAATTACACAAAAATATATACTTTTAACTTTTTCAAATTTTATATGATTTTGTTAGAAATCATTAAATGAGAAATTTTTTAAATTAAAAAAATTTTAAAACATTTTAGAATGAAAAATTTTAGAAAAAATATTTTTTCAGCATTTTATAAAAGCTGAGAATTTTTCTTAAAGAGCAATAAAACTATTTGAGATTTCAAAAAATTTTGAGAAAAATTGTTAACAAATATCTACAAAATATATTATACTGTAATAATAAATTATAAAATTAATTTATTACATCACTAGCTCTAACTGTTTCAATTTTTGTACGACTTTTAGCACTATGATATGATATCTTATACGTAACGGTTATGAACATTCAATGATCAAGATTCAATAATATGCATGATTGAGTAAATAAAATATAAAATGAAAGAAACACTTTGGAACACATAATACCAAATCGGGCATCAAGCCTGCGTCTGGGGCTATTTTTCAGAGAGCCGCATTTGCTCGTCAAATGGATTAATTAAGGACGTGGTAATGAAATGCGTGACGTGATGGTCCGCGCCGCCCGGGCAGGGCCACTCAAAGACTTGGAGGTCCCTCTGGCGGTATCTCTCCCAAGCGGAGAGGTTCATCGGGTGTGCTGGATACGCTCCGGGATATGCTACGTATCGCGCCGCCTTGGGGTTAACTGTGTTTCTACTGTGCGTCGCCGTCAAGGTATACCACCGATGTTCGCTAATGACGAGGGACGGGATATGACGAGCAGCGCCGGCCGCGAGAACCGTTCAGTTGTAGGAAGAGTGCTCGAGGTCGCGACGACCCTCGGGAACACTGCGCACCCGCGCGCCGTCTCGCCTTCCCGTCTCTCCCGTGAGAGCCGTCTGACCTGTAAAAAAAATCGCGCTGTCAAAAGACATGTATTTTTAACGTAGATCTGTGAGATTCAGTTCTCGAAATTGCTTGCAGTTGAATCGCATAATTGTGGCACGGAATGCTGTCGTTTAGACAAATATGCAGAGACATATGTCTCACACAAATCCCGCGACGTGACACTTGTTTGCATCTCATTGATATTCGCATGATTCAAGCTGCGAATGGTAGCTCTTGACGTTAGCTTGTATAAGATGTTTACATTTTCCAAGTCGAATCATACTGGAAGCCTTCTAGTATACTGTACAGATAATCCTATTAATATTTATTCCCATTTACAGGAGGAAGAGAGGAGTGGGAAAAAGAGAAGAAGGAAGATCTTATAATATAATACACCCAACCATCGTTTCTGAAAAACAGACGATTCACAATGACTGGAGACAGACTGGGATTATTATAATACAATTTTATCTACATTAAGACTAAGGTAGGTTTGTTTTTGATAAGACTTTTGTCAAATGTGATGCAATATATACCATGAAACAGCCAAACCATTTTTTCAGATCTGCCTTTTCCTCCATTATGCTGGTTCTGGAAATATTTACATCAAATGAAAATCGCTCAATCTCAGTAGATACGCTCAGCAATTGTGGACGAATTCCTTATATATTCTTTGCATGAAAACAAGAAAGGCATGAAAAAAAAATAGCGATAGATTAGTGATGTGCCTTTATCTTTGGTATTTCAATTTTATTATGACAGTAAGTACAATATTTACAAAGAATTTGACTAGTTAATATATTAAATAATTTCTTCTGACCATCTTATGGGATAAGCATTTATAAAAAGATTTGTTTTTCCATATGTGGATATGTAATCTATTAAAAGATTAAAAAGATGTTCCATTTGAAATACTTATATGGAGAGAAAAATTAGAAAGTTGATAAATAAATAATATTATCTTTTTAATTTTTTTTCCATATGAATATTTTATATGGAGCATTTTTTTAACTTTTAGAATATTTAAGTAAAATGGTCTAAGAAGAAATTTTTAGAAATAATATAACGATTTTAAAGATTAATATTCACAATAAAATTGATATTTTTTATAGGAAATGTCTTGACATATTTCGAAAAAAAAGTGTGTATAATAAATATAAATTTCTTGATTGTGTGCAAAACTATACATACAAAAAATGGATAGCTCCGAGTATGAAATGGTCAGAAACATGACTCTTCTCTTCTTCTTTGAACGACTGATGGACAAGGGTGGTCCACGTACATTGCACGATCTAAGTTGCCAGTTCGGGGCTAAAGGATTCACGAAGGAAATGCGACAAATAGCGGGAGGATCGCAAAGTGGCCTTAAGAAATTTCTAGCACAGTATCCAGCACTCTTTCTGATTGACGGCGAATATGTATCCATCAATACGTTTCAGCCAATCGTGGAAGAGGAGAGTGGAAATAAATCGAGTAAACGCGACTATGCTCGCGAGGCCGTAGAATACTTTACGAATAAGCTGTTGCAATACGGAGTAGGTACTGAGGTACCCATTAAAAGTCTCTTGGGTCATCGATCGCAAGCTTCACCGGAAGTTAGGCATATATCCGGTCAACACTACAAAGAATTTCGTGATTTTCTCATGAAGTATCCCGATGCATTCGTAGTCAGCGAAGATAATGTAATATTGAAACAATATGAAGGCATGAAACCGGAGCCATTTCATGAACTGGAGCCAGATATTCCGATAGATCCAGATGTCACGGCAAAACTGTTGAATTTTTTCTGTGTATGTATCGAACAAAAGGGTCCGATTCTTATAGATCAGTTATTCAGTATGGTCAATGAGAAATTCTCCCATGAGAACTGGACGAGTATATTCAAGACGTCACAGGATCTGTCTACTTTTATAAAAATGTTCCCAGATGCTTTCCACGTGCAAACGAATCTGGTGACGTTGATAGCTCGACCAAAATCTTCAGTGATGGAACCCGCAGTTGCGAAAACGAAAACTTCAAGCAATCAACGCAGTCAGAGCAACAATGTGGCTCATACAAACAATGTGGTGCCAATTATTCCGCCGAGCAAGATCCAACTCTCTCAGCTGCCTTTGGATCAATTGGAAAGCGTCTGTAATAACGCCACATCTCAACCTAATTCGCTCCAGAACGCATGCACATCGCCTGCTGTTGAAAGCAATAATAATTCACCGCCCGTGAGTTTACAGCAGCAGTCTCTGAAACAGAGATTCAATACAATTGTTATGAGGACTTTAGCGGATAACACAGAACGAGATCGCAGTCTGCAAACTGCCCAGATGGGCGACGCGTGGAAATTGAAGGTACTACAGCAGACCAAGGTGATAGCGACTTTGCGGGAAAGTCTTCAAATTACAGAAGATATAATAAATCCTCGAAAACCTCCGCCTGACGGCAAAGTGGTCGTTTCTTTCGATTGTGAGGGTATAAATCTTGGTGTTAGGGGACAGCTGACTCTTGTACAAATCGGTACAATGAGTGGTCAAGCATATGTGTTCGATTTGGTCACGTGTCCTGGCCTCGTTCAAGCTGGTGGTCTCCAAAAGTTGCTGGAACATCCCCATGTTACTAAGGTAACAATATATAATAATATACAGCAGATAAAAATAAATAAAAGGTATTAATTACTTCACAAAGATGGGCAGCTTCAAGCATATAAACTTGTGTTTATTTTTGCAGGTGATTCACGATTGTAGAAATGATAGTGTCAATCTATTCAATCAGTTTAATATTATGTTAACAAATATTTTTGACACACAGGTACTTAATGTTTTTTGCATTTTTTAAATATAGAAATAATGTATCATTATAAATGTAATATGAAATGTTAATATCTTTTATAGGCTGCGCACGCAGTGCTTCAGTTTCAAGAAACGGGGAAGCCTGTGTACAAAGTTAAAAATGTTAATTTGAACACTTTGTGCGATCATTATGGTGCTCCGTGTAATCCGCTAAAGGAACAATTGAAAAATATTTATCGTAAGGATCAACGTTATTGGTCTCGGCGACCCATCACTCGCGAAATGCTAATTTACGCGAGTAGCGATGTTTTAAGTCTCGTACCTCAAGTTTATAATGCTATGTCTAGGTATGTTATTTTATTCACAATTGTCTCGTAAATAATTAATTTTTCCCATGAATAATAGAATAGTACAAATAATGGTTTTATATATTATTGACAGACTTATAAAACCCGAACAAGAAGCTCTTTTTGCAGAGCTTTGCGAAGAACAGATTCAAATGCACATAAGACCAGCGGTCGTAAAAGCACGTAAGAAGCAACGAAAGATCTCGACCGAATTGGCAGATTTGAAAAAGAGGATGGAAGAAGTGACGAGTAAAAATATCGTATTGAGTAATCGTGAAATTCGGCTTCTTCGCTATTTGGATCTTACCGAAGACGAAAAGGAAAAGCTCAAAGGAAGTTATAAAGTTGCTAGAAAATTGGAAAAGTTAGAGAACATGGGCCAAGATAAGGCCGACAGCAGCGATGACGATGACGAGGATAAAACGGATGATCATGAATATCAAAGCTTAGAAAGCTATACATCAGAAAATTCTGGTAAAATACCAACATTTTAAGTTAAAATACAAAATTAATATTTAGAATTATACAAATACGCACGCACGCGCACACACACACACACACACACACACACACACATTTTAAAATATTAAAATTGTTAAAATTATGAAAGTATGGATTTATCTTTTTGGTAGTTTTGTGTATGATAAAAAAGTCATAGTTCCATGATCTGAAAATTAATTTTTAGGTGGCATATTGTCACCGCGGAACGCCGATACTCCAAGTCTAACTGAATCAATGCAAATGATGGACGAAATACTTTCGGATGGTCGGATGGATAAACTAGAGAAGATTGAGAAACTGGAAGCCATACTGTCAGCTGTTACGAGCTCCGCGACTGACCAGCTTTCCGCTAACAATGCGGATTCATCGCCTATCAAGTGCGTTTGTACGTGTCAAGAAGATAAGACCGACAGTCGGACGGATCGTCAAGCTGCTCGAACTAGTGTGGCTTGCCAAACGCTTAGCACAGGTGATATAGTATTTACTAGAGTGTTTGTCAGCGAAGAAGAAAAAGAGCGAGTAAGATTATTGAATTCGCCAAAAAAGTAGATATTACAGCTGCTGTGAAAGTAGTAGAAAAGTTGCCATTTATAGGTTTTTTTATAAAAACGGAACAATTGCATAAAAGAATTAAGTAGTTGAAATTTATCTATTTTATGTAATATATATGACAAGATTCATAGAGCAGAACTGGCAAAACTCGAGTTTTCTGACATGTCTGCTCCTTTAAAAAGTGTCTTAAATGGATAGGCCTTGTTATACATGCCTTTCCAGATCTGACGATAATCATCAGATTTTTGGAAAAGGATTATTCATTTTAATATGAGGATTTATCCGCTTGAAGATTATCTTTCTTTTACGAGTGTTTAAGAAAGACCGAATCGTTTTAGTTACAAAAGTAGTAATATTAAGTTATAAGCGTTAATAAGGTTTTACTAACCGCAAATTTTGTGATTTTTAACATACAACTTGTGGCTTTTTATGTTTGCCTCGGGATTAAGCTGCTAAAAAATTTTTTTTTAATATTGTCTCTTCAGACAAAATATATACATATATGTACAAATATCGACAGGAGAATCATGTTTATAGATATATAACGATTGCTGACGCTTTTTTAATAGCGTTGCGAAATTAACAGAATGCATATTTCATGCTTACAAAATATTTTTATGTGAAGTACTGCATTAAAATCGCTACTTTTTTAGTTTTATGGCCTAATTTGCGTCACTTATAAGAAGGGACGAATTGTCGGCAGTATAATAGAACATAACGGCAACTATTTAATAAATGCTTTTTCCTCACAGGATTTAAGCTTACGCACGCGTAATAAACTTGTGCAGACTTCTTCCTTACATCGATTACAGATATAACTTATTTTCGTATATAGCTATACAAGTGCCAACTTAATATAGAATATATACAATAAATGGATTGATACATTTTATATTTCTATTTAATTACATGCTTGGTGAATAATTATGCTCGCACTTCCAGTAAGTGGTTAATCTGATAGTATTACATAAGATAAACGCATTATTCGTGTCACATAGATCTGCATTTATACTCTTCTAATAAACATATCATTAATAAGTAAACTGCCAGAGAGCGGGGGAAGTGACGATTTCAAGAGATCTAAATAAATCATTGTCATCGTAAATTGTCAGTGTTTTTAGTGCAATACTTTACACATGGACAGAAAATATACATTTAATATCGATCATGTAATTCTTTTTTAACATTACAACGCATACTACTAAGATATTATAGCCGAAAGACAAATCATAGCGAATCATTGACACATTCTCATTTATTATTAATTGAGAGGCTCAACTAGTATCAAATCGTTCGACTATTTCGTATATACTATTCATAAAGTATGCTAGAAGTTGCTATAGTATATATGTCTACGTTTCTTTGATCTAATCAAAACGCCGATTACTAGCAATATTTTTTATAAAATTCTTGAGAATGTGAGACAAGTGCATCGGGTGTTGCCTAGTATTTTAATGTAGATGTTTGATTATTATATTTCGTCATATTGAAAAGCAAAATAATAATACTTTTGTAGAGGCATCCTTATTGGAGGATGCGTAACTGCGTTATTAAAAAGTGCAAATTTAATTCATCGCAAAAATAATTTTGATATTTGAATTATTCGGGCAGTTATTTGCGTGCGTTTATACTAATATCAGAATAATTTTGCAGTCATGCGTTTATACTAATGTTAATAATATTCTCGATATACAGAAATTTTATTTGTGAAATATTCGCGTTCTATATACATATGAATTATATTTAGAACAAAAATTCGATGAGAATCTTAGAAAAATATATAAAACAATTATGCATCCTTAGGCTTGGGTTCAATTTTATTCATATGGTTTTTTTTCAATTCTCTAGTATATTTTAGATTTTTATAAATATATAATATCAATTGTATAATTTATAAATTTTACATTTATACAAATTTCTCTGTATATTGATAATCATTCATATTGTTATCATATATGCACTCATATATTTATTTTGGGATAATGGCCTACAGGATTATTAAAAATTTTAATAAAATTAATTTTTGTTAACCTTAAATTATTAATGTCTTGTTAATTGTGAATTTAATAAATATAAAAGAGAAAAATTATACATATATTTTCACTTTTATAATAGAAAATCAATGATAAAACTATAGTTTATAAATGAGATGAGTGCTGAGGATTAACAGAAAAATTGTACAATATTGCTTGATAATGATATAGTTTACAGATTTATTGATTGGCTTTTTGCCATGGTTACAGATTTATTGATTGGTGTTTTGGTTCGTCCTGATTTTCAGAAAAGAAAATGCTTAATGCCATTCTTTTTATTTATTGATATACATTTTCTTTTCTAATTATCTGGGTGATATTTAATTTTTACTAGCGATATTTTAAGAATGGACTAAAATGATATTATCTGAATTATTTTATAACGCATTTATATCAATCGAATAGTAATTATACTAAAAAAAAAACAAGGAACTTCATAAAAATATTTATACGAAAGAATGCTGATTCATATAATTATTAACAATGACTAATGCATTGCAAACAGATACAAAGTAAAATCTAAAACGGATATACGTAATAAAAAATATTACACAGAAAAAAATTAACATGTGCATTTATTTGTTTATATCCCATCTCTCTCTATTTCATGAAATGGAAGCTATTTAACGAAATAGATATATTTCTACACTCTACTACATCTATATCTACATATATGAAATATTCGAAAAGAAAAAGGTACATGCAAAAATATTGTTTCTTTTTTTAATTATTAATATGTAAGTAAAAGTATTAAATTTATAACAATAATTTTATAATTTTCTACATATGTATACAAATAAAAGTACATGAATAGAAATATAATCTACTTGAATGTTTATAGGCTTTATTTATAAGATGTAATACAATTATCTATCAGAGAATTGTATTACAAAAAGCAGTACAATTATTTTTAAATTATCTATCTTTATTTCGAGTTAATTAAATGATATAAATTATTTTTCTGAAATCATAATATTAAAGTAAATATATATTAAGAAGGTTTATACATATATCTCTAATACAAACATTACGTTCATGCCATACATTATCAAAATTATTGTAGAGATATTATAATTTGTTTTGGTATAGTAAGTCTTTTAAATGGAAGAATATATGCTTCCAACGAGGTGCCTTTCAAGAAAATTTCATTTACGTAGTTTGTATAATTGTCTAAGCATAATTTATATTCCAGCGTACTTACATCTTCATGTGACAATAAATTTATAACACCTGGAGGTATTTCACACATCAAAAACATGTCAAAATATGATGATGGATTACAGAAGTTTGCATCAAATATTACAATGACAGGATTGCCAGAAATTAAAGTTTGCATTAATCGAAAAAATAAAACATTTTCACTTTCCTCCTTAAGGATGATAATTACACCTAATGATTCACGAGTCTGCATTACTTCTATCATATCACTTTTAATGAATCCCTGTATACTATTATAGAGATATGGAAATTTTATCCATCTTTCTACTATAGCTGCTAATACAAATTTGCTAAAAAGGAAAAATGGAAAGATAATTGTCAAAAACGACATTTTTCCTTATATATACATATATAAAATATTATATATAAATATATAGAAACTGCTTTTGATAACTTTATGTACCCAGTAGATTTTAATACAGACACAAGTCTAGATAATATTTGTATCCTAGTTTTAATAGACATAGCACTCCAAGTTTGCAATCCATTTACAGCAGATTTATAGCATTTTTGGAAATCGTCGCTGTAATGACAATAAATACATTAATTAATTAAAAATTTAATATTTGTTTTTTCAATTTTTTTAAATTTAAGTGAGGATTATAATAAGTTCAGTTAATCTAATAAAGTTTAAAAATTAAGAAAACATTAATTAAAAGATTAAGAAAACATTGTTAAGAAAACATTCATACCATGTTGTTTGTGCCCATAGGCTGCCATTGTGCTTCCAATACATGCCCTTTATAGGTGTTTGCCATGCACCATCATAAAAAAGATTACCAATAGAAATATCGTTCGTTTTTATAACAGATGACAAATGTACTACATTCCTACTGAATTCTTTACTTTGACCAATTGTTTCATCTTCCTGAGAAACAATCGTTAATTCCTTATATAATAAATGTTGGAACAACATGGATTTAAAAGGCCAAAGTACCGTACTACCATAGAAATCCATATATTTATTTATGAATACTAGGTGACTCTAAATAATTATGAAATGAGGAGAAAAGCATTTTAATAAAATTCAAAATAATTCTTGACAATATACTGTGTGTTTAAATAATTTAAATAATTAATATACTTTTAAGGATAATGCTAAATTCTTTGCAGCTACAATATCTTCCGACCATATGGATATTATTGTTACATTTACACAGCGCTTAGGTTGATAAAATTGAATATCTTTCACTGATTGAAATGTATCAATAGTTACAGATAATTCAAAATGAAAACTCTTCATGAGCCATAACAATTTCTCACTCACTCGTTCTTGCACCCATATTTTATGTAAAGGAAATTGCTCTGCGGTTATCATTAAACAATTAATAACTGCATGTAAGTCCGAATCTTCTAAGATTACCATTTCACTTGTACAAATAATAAGTGTATCTGTATCTAAATACACATTTTATATAAAAATTTCAATTAAAAGACAGAAACATATTTTTATAAATAACACTATATACATTAAGTAACACACAATGAACATTTTTCAGCAAGAGACAGATGACATATGCTGTATTTTTTAATCCACTGCTAATGCTGAAAATATAAAGTATACGCAATGTAAACTATATATAAATTTTCAGCATTGGCGGTGAATTTTTAGAACACAGCCAGTATGATGCAGTGAATCATTTCATTGTTGTTTATCATTGGCGAACAACAAGGGTGAAACGATTTTCTGTGTTACAACTGTATCAATTATCTTTATTGTTGAAATATGGCTAATATAGATAAACATTTTTTTGTTACCCTGCATTGAATATATTACTCCATCATACTGATCTATAATATCCTTGCAGACAGCTCTAAAAAAATATGAAAAAATATTATGTCGAATATATATATTACCAAAAGTTTATAAAATATTACTTTTAATTTTTTAAAATCCGCGATTAATAAGTATGGAAATAACTACATTATTATAGTAAAGAGCTAATTTTTTTACATATAGTTACATGAGACAATCTATAAGAAGTGAATGCATAATAGTTCCTGTACATATATTGAGGAGTGTAGTTACTAACATAGCAGGTAGATCATTTAACTCGTATCCTGAAATGATAAAAATATATAGAAGAGGGCGATATAAAATTTTCATCAACTTAATACGTTCATTATATGCTATCTGTTATATAACATAATAACAATATATTTTTACAATTGCAAATACAAGAATAATATTACTGTAGATACCTGAATCTGTAACTGGTAAATTATCAAGGACTATCAAAGTGTTATACTGATTTATATAACTTAAAATATTATAAATTATATCTATATGTTTAAAAATAGATGAAAAAATCGGTAAATTATTATATATTGTATCTATCAGTATCCACAATCTGTGTAAAAAGGAGAACATTAAAAATAACAAAGATGGAAACAATTATAATTCTATGTCTTTCATTGTTCCATTTTTAAATTCTATCTTTATTTAAGTACCTAGTTGACATATGATCTTCAGGTGTAAATTTATTATACATTGTATGATATATAACAAGTATTTTCTTCCGTATAAGTTCCTAAAAATAGTACAAGAAATAGTATTATACGTTTATTAAATTTCATAAATTATCAATAATGCATTATTATTATATATTGGATATATCAATACTCACTTCTTCCTTTTTATCATAATCTAGATTAGTATAATATGTATTTAAAACTTCCACTCGCTCCATGAATGCTAAAATTTAATTCTATATTTATAAAAAGAAATTATAAAGTTGCAATCGATCGTTATCCTTTTATAAAATAATATAAATTTACAAGGTGAAAAGGGCTTTGGAGTTTCTAGCAAAAAAAAAATATAATATTCAGACTTAGAAGTAGAGAGCAAATCACATATTTGTTTACATATTTGTTCATATGTGACATTCGAAGGATAAGAACATCTATATGTCTTAAATGATATATATTTTTATTAAGTCCAGAACTACAAATAGATATTTTAAGTCTTAAACCATAAAAAATTGACCAATTACAGTTGAATGTGAGGAGAATAATTGGGCGCGTTCAGCGGACTCAACAGTTGAGTGAGCGTTCGCTATTATTGGTGCATTCTTCTAGATTAAAAATTCTGATTGGATGATCTAAAAGAATACACCAATAATAGCGAGCGCTCACTCAACTGTTGAGTCTGCTGAATGCGCTCATTGACTATGATTCGTCCATTTCTTATGACTTAGGGCCTCTTTCACCAACGCCGATTAACTTAATCAACGATTAGTCCATTGAAATTGACGAATCGCTTCTGTCGTCAAAACTAAATGATAAATGCGATTGGTCAATTCCAATGGACTAATCGTCGATTAAGTTAATCGACGTTAGTGAAAGAGGCCCTTAGGCCTGTTTTACAAGAGTCGCAAGCCGTAAGAAATCAACCAATCATAGTTGATTATTTTTATCATATTCTACTATGATTGGCCAATTTCTTACGACTTACGACCTTACTGTGGAATAACCAAGGTTTGAAAACATGTAGATCTGGACTATTTGTCGATAATGTCATCGTTCTTTAATTATCCTCGAACTCCTGGAGGCCTACTGCCTATTATATATGGGGAGCACAGACAGGGAGCATCAAAAATTCTGTTAATACTTTAGATTTGTTTTTTAAATATGTATTTTTTCGCATTTTCTTAATGATCGATACTCTAGAATTCGAAATTACATATGTTGCTTATTTATAGTGAAAAAAAAGTTGTTTTATCATATTGCAAGTTTGGGGTAGTTCAAAAATGAAAATTATTTTATGAATGAAAATTAACACATGAAAATTATTTATTAGAAAAAGAAAGTGTATATCGACAATCGTATTTATTTTATCTAAACATACAGTACAGTACAGATTCATACGTCTCAGCATGCAATGGGCATACGAATGTTTTTAAGCGGGGAGCACAGACTTTTGCATAACGCATAAACCATATACATAAAGAATTTGATTGGTCCATTGACTCATGTATAAGAAAATGGACCAATGAAATTCCTTATGCACATGCTTTATGCGTTATGCAAAAGTCTGTGCTCCCCGCTTTCACATTACTTTATAGTTACTAGTATGATATAAATACAAGGGTATGTAATATGTTATTCCGGTGGTAGACCACTGCGCAGGAATTGGAGTGGTGGGGGAGTCTAAATGTTGACGTCATCACCTCGGCTGTTTCCGGAGCGGTTCGTGTAGGTTCGGCTCCTTGATCATCGTTTTCGTTATCGTTAAAAAACACAAAAAAAAACAAAATACATTACTCACGTACAATTTTAATTACTTTTTTAATTTTCATATATTAAAATTATTCACAAATTTCATTACTATTATTAATGATAATGAATTATTCTGTATATTATACACAAAAGGATTTTCATACAATTCATAACAAGTTTCTATAACTTTAGCTCATCCATATTAGTTATTCCTATAATTTCATGCTCGCAAATTACTTATCTACATTCTTACATGTTAAGTTCTATCAATTTTAAACCCTCTTCTAATTTCGTCAATTCTTCATTTATTTCATTATATAACTGTAATCAATAGTGCTATACCGGTTCCTTTTCTTTTTTTCATAATCTTCGTCCTTTAACCTTTTCTTTACCTACTTCCGAATACCAGTTTCGTTTTACATTCCCGTTGTTCTTTATTTTTTTCCTTATATTTCTTTTATTGAAGCCATAAGTTAGTCTTATTTCTAACTGCCTGTTTAAATTTCCCTCGTTTTGATGACGTCTACTCAGACAATTCTTATTGGTCACTTCTTTGTCACGTGATTTCTAGATGCGCAATAACATACCCTTGTACTTATATCATGGTTACTAGTCATAAATCTTCCTTGTGAGAATAGATATGTTAAACGTTACATTTCTAACACGTGTAATAAAAATACATTTGTACTTACACACAACATTCAAGAGAACCGATAAATCGCGTGAGATAACCTTTTCATACTGTGCACATCACATTCGAAAGAGACAGTCGCACTCGTATCCAGCCGGTGGTCCCTGGAGTATATTGTTTTTTGGAACGGGTAACTTTTCTCTGGAAAGTTTACGAAGCTTGTATAACGAATAGTTAGTACCAGCTTTACCAATAATTTATTAATAAATTTTATTTAATAGGTAATTAAATGTTATAATAGAAGAAATGTAAAAATGTGAAGTATACTTACAAAATTAATTTTTTTAATCTACAGCAGAGCTAAAAAACTCTGTCGATTAGAAGTTGTATCAGTGTGTAAAGGGAAAAAAAATGTTGTTATACAGTATGCGGAGGAGAAAGGAATTGTTGTTAACAAATGGCCCCTTGAAAACAATCCACAGGGTTTTCATATCGGGATAGTAGTCTCCTTTGGTCATTTGATACCACTAAATATTATAAATTCTTTTCCACTGTAAGTTATTTTATTTATCCACGTGTGTCCAGTGATTTGTTATAGTATATAATTAATGTATCTATTTTTTTGTCACAGTGGTATGTTAAATGTTCATGACAGTCTATTGCCACGATGGAGAGGAGCAGCTCCAGACATTTATACCTTAATGAAAGGAGACACACAGACAGGAATTACAATCATGAGGGTGGCAGAAAAGTAAAGCCTTTTTATTTCTTAAAACAAATTTACTTCTTACTGTTTTAGAAATATCAGCGCATGGTTTAAAAAAAAAGCATCTATTTTCTCTTGCTCGTATTTTCCTTTTATTAATATTTTTAATGATAGGAAATCTTAATCATATTTTATTTAAATTATATAATATATAATAAGTTTATATTTTTCTTTAATACAAAAAAATTTATAAATATTATATACATATTTCATTGTTTTTCGAATTTTTTAATTGATAAAGAAACGTCAAAAGTCACTTACATCCATATTTTATTGATAGAAGAATCGATATTACAATCTTAATATTATTTGGATTTAGATCGATAGACAGTTTTTTATTACTTTTCTATGTTACTACAGGTTTGATACTGGAGACATAGTAACACAGGAAAAGATAGATATTCATGCAGATGAAACTCGACCAGAATTAAATATGAAATTAGCAAAGCTGGGTGCGAATGTTCTGATTGATGTGCTAGGAAAATTGCCACAAGTATTATCTTCCTCGAGGCCTCAAGGAAAATTAGGTGTAACATATGGTAATTTGTCTTGCTGTTGTACTAAGCAACAAAATACATTAATATTTTACTTAATTCATTGATCTTTTTTGATGATTACATTTTGTAGCATCTAAAGTTTCATTAAAGACCTCTTTAGTGAAATGGGATGAGATGACGGCGAAGAATGTTTATGATCTGCAGCGTGCTCTTCTAGGATTGTATCCATTAAAAACCAAGTTTGATGGCGTGACTATAAAATTGTTGGATGTCCGGCAGACGTCGAAACCGGAAGATGGCAGAAATTCGGATATACCAGGTAATTAATCGTTATTCCTGCGTGATTCGCTGTGATACTAAGTTAGTACCAAGGATTGAAAACAGTTTATTCCTAGGAAGAAAATGAATTATCTGAAAATATAATTATTACATATTCGAAGAGATGAGATGTGCATGATTAATGTGGAAAGCCTCTTCCAGGTTTCGTGAGATTTGATCGGAAAAGTAATACGTTAGTTGTGACATGTAAAGGACCAAGTTGGATCTCAACAACAAAAGTAATTGTGAAAGGGCATCCAGTTATGAGTGCATTGCAGTTTAGAAATGGATTTATACGGAGCAGAAAGAAAGACTGGATATTATTTCAGAGTAATGTTACATAATCTACAGCGCTGCTTTTAACATCAACGCTATTCTTTTGTAAATCTCTCTCTCTCTCTCTCTCTCTCTCTCTCTATATATATATATATATATATATAAAACAATTTCATTCAGAAACACATAATGAATATTAAATTTTTATTTACTACAATAGTAAAATTTAATTTAGAATGTACAAAATATAATATTAACGCACACAGTGACTATTGTAAGAATAATAAATTATTTATCATATATGTCAATGTTTCTTTAAATACTGAATACGATTAATTGCTTTTCATTCATATATGAGCTTGCATATAAAATAATGTCAAATTTCTTGTCTCATGCGAAAATATTCTTTTGTATATTCCCTTTATTTCTCTCTTTATAATAATTTTCAATATCTAATAATTTATTTAATATCTTTTATCGTAGAATTTCTATATAAAACTATAAAGCATTACAAAAAAAAATCAATAAAAGAAATAACGAGAAATAAGTAGCGTGAACTATAGTAAGTTTCAAATTCATAATTTTTTCGTAGAATTGTAGATTTTCATAGAATTCTTCAAATTACAGCAAAATTTCTCTTTTACGTGCTCTTGTGTCTTATAAACAGGGACTCAGTCAGACCGAAATTATGTTAAGGATTAAAATTTCGGTTACGATAACGATCTGAGGATACATTCAACTGTTACGGTAAAAAAAAGAAAAAAAACTGTAACCAAATGTTGGATCTAGTTTCTGATCATTATCTGGACCTAATTTTTTGGTCCGAGTATCTGCTTCCAAAAAAAAAAAAAAACCTGAATGTCTTATTTATATAAACGTAGAATTGGAGCTGCAGATAGAAAATTGTTGATATTAAGTCTCAGTTTCAGAGGCCTGAAATGAAAGAAATATTTTTACTATAAAAGTCTCTTTTTTTATTATGTTTAATGTGCCAATGATATATATCCACATTAACAATAAATAAGCAGAAGACAAAATGGAGTTCAGAAATGCTTCAAGATATTATTCTAACTTGTTATACACACATCACGAAAAATAAAAATAAATATAATTAATTTACATTGGATACAAATTTTCTGTTCCTATTATTAATAATAATACCAATAATATCCCTGTAATATTAATTTTTTAATTCTCAAAAAATGATATATCTATCTTTTCTATTTGATTCACCTCGAGAAACCAGCTCAAATCAATTTATTCGTGTACATTTCAGATTAAAGTACTTCATACTTTGTCAAAATTTAAGTTTATTGTCTATCAATTGTCAATGTACGTGCATTTATTCAGATTTATCATTCGTTCTCTCTTAATCAAATGTTGGATAGACAAAGAAATTACTATTTATATTATAACAATATTATAAAAAAAATAGTTATTTTTACACACATTGTACTGATATTTATTAAAATTTTTTATAAATGTATATATAGACAAAATAGAAAGTACATCAATCTAAAAATATTGGTGTCTATGGACAGTAAAAATTTTATGAACTTACACTAGGATCGCAGTCGGCACAGTGCCACGAATATCCTCTCCTTTTCGGAGACTTTTTCACAGGAGGATCTAAGCACGTAAAATGATAGCATTTCTTACATTCGTCACACCTGCAAGAATTAAGTACATGACAAAGAGTGGTTGTAATAACATTTTTTAATTACAATGTTATATTGTAATAGAGTCTATAATTTTAAATTCCAGTTATTATTTGTTGTAATACTAACATAACGAGATTTTGGTTAGTGCCGGGAGTATCACAGACGTTACATTGTGTCATAAGGTCCGTATCTTTTCCTCTCTTTGTTCCTGTTGACACTCGACCACTGCTATTCACGGATACATTTATTGGAGGTACATTTGCAGCTGGAGGTGGCACAGGTGGTGGTGGTAATGTAATTTCAGTACTCGAAGTAGCCACAAACATTTGCGGGCTCGATTCCGAGTCTGTATGTCCTTCTGGTCGACGAATTGGTTTTATCTATATTCGATTAATTAACATTATTAATGTTCAAACATAATGATAAAATAAATAATAGTATCTTATTTTTACGTACAATTGTTAAACAATAACAAGAAAGAAGGAAGCACAAAGCAAAGCCTATCTGATGAGTCCAGTAGTGGAAGCCGGGACGAAACGCCAACTTGTGATATTCTTCGCAATCTTATTTTTCACAGATTTCAATTATCATTACTTTAATATTAAATTTTAATGTATGTCTTTCAACATATTATTAAGATCTAATAAGATGCTATAAGCATCAAAAATTGTTAGATTGATTGTCAATCTAACTAAAGTGATATTACCGCGGTAGTTATTTAGAGTTGCGTTGTAAGTCTGAAAAAATGTTCGGCACGCGATTAAGAGAACTACATACGCGATAATTCACACATAATGATAATAAGCATCTTGATCTAGCTTTGACCGATAGGCTTTGCTTTGTGCTTCCTTCTTTCTTGTTATTGTTTAATAATGATAAAATAAAATGGAAAAATAATACATACTTTTATTGTAATCCTTCTATGAATCTCTGGTTGGCTTTGAACTTCTGGATTTTCTATATCTAAACTTTTTCTTTTATGTTTTCTTTTTCTCTGTTTGATTCCAGTTATCGGATCTGGAGAATACCTTTTATGCTTCTCCCTAAAAAAATGTTAAGTATTTATACGTATATTAAATAATTTAATATTGATTTATACAAATACGATAAATCTATGAATTATTTTTTCCGATCATTTCGCACCTTCTCCTTTTTTTCCCACTTTTTTGAGTGATCACTTCCGTTCCATCTGCTGAAGCTACCATATATTCTGGTGAACCTTCTCTTATGGTGATATTATTAACAGATTGTTGATTGTATACCGACTCAGATACCTGCGTAAGTTCTACTGTTGATGGTTGCGGTCCCACTGGTTTAATAGTTAGCTGTAAAATTATAAATATATCTCTATTTTATACCTACACCAATCCTAGAGTTAAATCTTCGTTTATTCGTAAAATAAGTAAAATATAAATAGCAGTAGAGTAGTATAACATATTATTTTAATAAGTACCTTTGGTGTTGTATGTGTATCAGGAGTAATAATATTTGTTACATTATTGGTAGAATTCTTTGATGTGGTAGGTGTGTTTGGTATCATGGCTGCTTGCACTTCCTGTGGTGGTGTAGGTGTCGAATTAGCTTCATCCTTACAATGTCTTAATTTGCGCGGTGCCGATGTATCCACACGTTCCACTTCTGATCCTGAGGATTCCTTATCGCACTCAGAACATTGCCTGCAAATTGCAACATTAAAAAGTTTAATGAAACAATCGAAATGTCAAGTATTTATGTTTTCATACATACCATCCCATTTGTCTTGTTTTCTTAGGCATTCGTGCTAAGGGGGGACTTAAACAAGATAAATGATAGTGTAAATGACATGTATCACATTTAGCAAGAAGATGTTGATTAGTCGATCGTCTACAGATGCCACATTGATGTCGTAAGGTCGTCAGCTCACTTTTGTGATTTTGTTCTTGCGCTTGGCTACTCAATACTCTACCCTCACGTATACCTTCAGCACCTTTACCCACGGGAAGTGGAAATCCAACACCCATCTTCAAGGCAGCTGCTGTAGGCACACCTAAGCTTGTGCCTGTAAAAAGCTTTTCGTGTATTGATTTGCGTATATATATATATATATATATATATGGATTTTAATTTTTGTAACTTACCAAGCGTGGGTGCTATTCTTGGCTTCACAAGATCAGTAATCGATGGCAGAGGTTTCATGAACCCGGCGCTTTTAAGTACTTGATGATACAATTCAATCTTTTCTTTCAATGTTACATTCACTCTAATCTGTTCCTCATTATCCTTCATCACTTCGTCGTATTTTCTGTCGAGTCTTTGTTGTTCGTTCAATAACTGCGAGTTAATGTCGAGAAGTTCTTGCAATCGTCTCTTCATTGATGTTACACGTAAGTTGCGATCCAAATAATAACCAATAAATTCTACGCTGAAAGCAGGAGCAATGTGCCATTTTTTTCTAACATCTACTAACGCCACTAGTTGAGACTCTTGCGCTTCCAGGGCAGCTGTATCAACGCCCATTAACTCGGCCTTTCGTGCCAATTGACGACAAGCAGAAGCAGATGTAGTTAATAAACGTGGCATCTTTTGCGTAGGTACTACAATTATACTTACTTAGAAATGTATCTAAGAATATATTTTAAAGGAAACATCAAAACTTACCCCATGGCGGCGGACGCGATGCCTTGTGAGCTAAATACTTGTGTCTGTGCTTAGCCAATTTTCTTTGAATTCTACGTTGCTCGTCTGAATCTAAATGATTAGGTTGCTTCAAAATCTGTTGCCGATACTGTGCACGCATTTGTAAAGCTAGCCAATTACGTCTACGTCTACGAACGAGAGATTTATCAGAATGTAATTTGCAATGTGCATAAAATGGATCAGCTTGATCGACTTCTTCACTATGTGCTTCGGACAATAAACCATCTCTTTGTGCACTATAAAAATGATGTTTCGTATTTTATATTTGCAGTACAAATTGTAACAAATAATAATATTCAGATGTATAGTTAATGAAAGTATTACCAGGTTACGTGAAAATATGTGTGACACATTCCGGCATCACATTCAATGCATACACCGGTGCGTGCATAACACGAATCTTCACATAAAGAACACGTTTTTGCACCCCATTTACTATATGCCATTTCGAACAGTGTCACACTTGATAAACGATCAACCTAAGATACACACATATTTAAATTAATGAGTATTTATAAATTATAAATACAAAAAGTGTCACGCAGTGCAAGATTTACTTCGCCAAAAGCAACACCAGGCACATAAAGAGCGCACACTAAATGAACCCATTTTCCGACATCTGTTTCTTTAAAAATTCCACCCTTGTTAGGACAGAGCTCACACGATGGATCTTCGATTCCTGCGCTACAAGCTTCGCAAAACCATGGCGCTGATTGGCATAAAGAGTCAGTACTTGAGAAACTTTCTACGTCAGATACGCCGTAACAA